ATGCATCAGGCAAGGGATTGTGGGTCAATCCTGCTACCCAATAGTTATTCCCAACCCTGAGTAAGTCTTTTCACTCCCCCTTACCTTAATAAGTAGAAGATGAAGCATGAGCATAATCTAGTTGGTCTCTCATTGGTCTTCGGTGAGCGTAAAGGAAAATGAAGTCAGAAGGTGAAATGATTTTGGTAGCCTCAGGTAACTTCCTAACTCTTGAAAACTTCTTTCTTAAAAATAAATAATAATAATAATAATAATAATAATAAATAAATCAATTATCAAAACGCCCTTCCTTCCTTTCTCATAAAAATAAATAATAATTAAAACATACTTTCTCTTTAATAATCATATTAATAAAATAAACTTTTATAAAATGTCTCCCGCTACACTAATTAAAAATGATAATAACAAATCATGTTTCATAAATAAAATAGAGCTCATATAATTAATTAAATAATATCAAAACTCTAAAATAAATACATTTAAATATCTAAATAATTTCTAAAATATCTTTAATATAATTTATGAAAATAGAAGTGTTATAGTTGGTCTAATGGTGAAGGATTGAAGTAGAATGCATAGGGTCTTAGTTTCAAACCCTGATGCTGTTATTGTAATTTTCACGGATAAAAAATGTTTAAAAATATTTTATTTATATAAAATTTTAAATATAATTTTTATATTAAAACATAGTATATATATATATATATAATTTATTATTGTAACGATCCGTCATGGCCGTCACACTACGAAACAACACTACAAATTACTGAAATATATATACTAAAATAGTATAATAAAATATTTACAACACAAGTTGCTAATCAAGCAACCAATGGCAACCAATTATATACAAAAAATATGCTATTGTAAGGTAGCCTACAAAAAAAATTCATCTCTAGGCACCTCCTGTGACCTCTAGCAGCTATCTCTAGTCTATCCCTGTCCTGCTCCAATACAACGTATGATCATCGCAGTCCAAACCACATGGAAACATGCAAGGGTAAGCTAGAGACAATAAAAAACTCATAATAATTTAATATGCAACATAACAACTATATAATCATCTTCGCATCATTTCAACTTGATTCCATATATCAACGTTGTATCAGCACTTCAACGCAACTACTGTACAAACTATTAGAATAGTTATCATATTCATCATAACAACAACCAACACATATTACACACCTCTCAACAACACATGCTTAAAACAACTTACAACACAGGTAATCTAGTGACACTAGCATCATCATCAACTTGTATACAATTAAGAAACTTACAACATAACAACACTATCATCATCCTCAACAGGATCAACATACAACACAATCACATCTTAACAACACAACAACAAATATACAACTCATATCAGCAACAAATCAACTCATCAATAACTTATGCGTCATCACGCATTTCAACTCGGAGATCTCCTACAACGTGGTAAGTAGTCTAAGTGGCTAGGTCCTACCGAACCGACAACATAACAAATTTGGATATCAATCCACAACACGATAATGGTTTCTTAGACTTTACCACTTAAATAAGAAAGTATAGTACTCGGTTATGAACTAAGTTCCTGACTTCGTACTTTACTCAAATTGGTTCCTTGTAATCGGTATAGTTCGACCTTGCCCCTATACCGTGGTCGCTTTATAATCGGTATAGCTCGACCTTGCCCCTATACCGTGGTCATTTTATAATCGGTATAGCTCGACCTTGCCCCTATACCGTGGTTGCTTTATAATCGGTATAGCTCGACGTTGCCCCTATATCATGGTAGCTTTGTACATGTGTGCCTCGACCTTGCCCACACATGGGACCAACTAAGTCCTAGAGAAGAACAACACAACATCCACTCCAAGGGACAACTTCCCAAGGAGGGTTTTTAACAAATTGGGCTCTCAGAGCACCACAACTATCTCAATCCGCACAATGGGATGAGCAACTTCGAAAATATCTCTTCTAGTCCTAGTAATCAACAACTTATCATCACAATTGAATCAGCTTACAACTCAACAGCACAACTCAGCTTAACAACTTAAACAACACACAACTTTCAACTCATCATTTCAATCAACTTTCAACTTAAACAACACACAACTTTCAACTCATCATCTCAATCAACTTTCAACTTAAACAACATGGTATATCAGCACAACAACTCATCAACGTTGTTTAACAACACATTTTAACAACACAACATCTCATTTCAACTTTAAACAACACAATCAACTCAACAACTTATTAGCTCAACTCATAATTTACAACTCAATCATCATAAAATAATATTTTTTCAACACATGGCACAACATACAACATTACAACAATATACAACTCTTCTCTAATAACTTAACAACATGGTCTACAAATAAATTTTGTATAAATCTCAACACGTCTACACATTTTACATCATGCTTCTCACAACTCACAACATTATCATTTCATCATATTTTACAACATATAAATAATCCACACATAAATATAGCAACTTTAGCAACATACCATGTATCCAACGCATTTTCTATTTGGCACAACTACTCATTTAGATTACAACACTATACTCAACATGCATCTCTTCATTTCACTTTCTACTCATCATACATCTCAATGTAATTTTACAATTCCATATGAGTTCCTAAACTCACATACAACCAAACAACATATAATCTAGCTTCCCTTACCTGAAGATTGGCTCTAAAAGCCAAGAGTTTGAAAGGAAGAAGAAGAAGAAGAAATATCCTCCAAAACTTGACTCTTGAACTTCAACTCTCTAAAAACATCTTTCTAGTCCAGAATCCTTCTCTCTAAAATCTCCATTTTCCTCAACTTCCCACAACCTCTATTTATAGAAGTTTGAAGTGGCTAGAACGGCCCGTTTCAAATCCGGAACGGCCTGTTCTGGGCTCCTTCATCATGTGTAAAATTCACATGCAGAACGGCCCGTTCGAAAACCGGAACGGCCCGGCCTTGAATTGAATTTAACTCACAATGACCATTTTGGAACGACCCGTTCCAGTCCAAGATTCATAGGTCTATTTAGTAGTTTGGAATGACCCGTTCCAGTTTGTGAACGATCCGTTCTGGGCTACTAAATCACCCTTATTTTAGTAGTTTGGAACAACCCGTTCCAATCTGGAAACGCCCCGTTCCAGTCTACTAACTACGTTACAATTATAAATTTTAATTATATATAATAAACATTTAGTTTGTGCATTGCACAAATTAAAATACTAGTTACATAAAACATGAAATTAAATTCTTCTTCTTCAATTTAACTAATAAACTCATTCCTACAATATTTTGTGAAAAAGGTAAAATTATAATCAAGTAGGCTCATGTTTTGTAAGCCATCACTAACATCCAGGAATGTATTGTATGTGTGATTATGCATAGTGTTTTGTAATTTATTTTAAGAATTTACCAAATCTTTTAACTCATAATCCAACTCAATTATAATTAGTGTGACGTGAAAATTTTCTAACTCAACCTAATAACTCAATCCAACCCACAAAATGTGATTGGGTTAGGTTGGATAGTTTGACTTCACGGGTGGATCATAACTCTATATACCCCTGGTCTAGAGTATCCACAGTTCTAATTAATCTCTACTATGTATTTAAGTTTTTTAATTCATGAAAAGAGTTAACAACATTTTGAAAAATTTCATTCTTAGTCTCTCTAAAATATTAAATTCCCAATTTTATAAAATTTACAATTTCAATCTCTTCATTCTTCATCGAATTAAATATTATTTAGATTTTTATCATAAAAATTACAATAATAAATGAATTTGAAACTAAGATTTTCTACATATTATATTAATCTCTCATTATTGGACCATGTTAATTATGATTTAATATTAAGCAGATAATATAATAATTATATTTAGACTTAATTTTATCTTTATTTTTTTTATTTTTATCACCAAAATGATAAAATAAAAATTAAAAATACAATTTAATCTTAATATTATTAATATTGATTATTATGTCATTTGACTTAATTTTTTATCTTTATAAAAAAATAATAAAATAAAAACTAAAAGTATAATTAAATTTAAATATTATTTAATATTAATTATTGAATCATCTCCATAATATTAAGTTATGGTTATTTAACGACTAAAATAGGGATGACAAATAAACTTGTACCCGTTCTAACTTTGACAGAGAATACTCGGTTTGACCGGGTACGGATAAAATCCGATAAATTAAATCGGGTACGAGTATGGGTATATACATACATGCCCCGTACCCGTACCCATACCCATACCCGATTTAATTATATTGAAAATTTTTAATATTTTATTATGTGTAATTATTTATTATAATATGAAATATTTATAGTTGTATAATTATTAAGAAATCTCTTGATTAAAATATGAAATAAAGAAATAATCTAATTATAATTATAATATAATAGAAAAATATTTTAAAAATATTATATATTTTTTTTGCAATTTTTTTTTTTACGGGTACGGATATGGGTACGGATATACCCGATACCCGACAGGGATGGGAATACAAATGAAAATCACATACCTGACGAATACGAGTACGAGTACGAGAATGAATTTGTGTCACGGGGACGAAGACAGGTATCATCAAACCCATTCCCGACCCACCCTGTTACCATCCGTAGACTAAAACAATGGGACACGAATTGTATTATAAAATCATAATATATATAATAATAATAATAATAATAATAATAATAATAATATTAATAATTCATGTTTTATATTAAATTTTAATAATTTAATTATTTAATTTAAAATTTTAATATATAAATTAAATATGTAAATTTTTAAAAAATTAAAAATATTTATATTTATTTCATTAATTTAAATTAATATATAAAATAATTTTATAAATATCTATTAATTTAAAGTAATATAATAATTAAATTATTAAAATTTGATATAAAATATAAATTATTTAACGAGAGTCGCGTAAACAATCTCCCATACAATTATACAAATCCCACCCGGTAACACTCTCTGCTCTGGACGAATAATTTTTTACTGGATGTAGATGGAACACACACCGTTACTTCTTTGCGGGCTACCGTAGGGGAACACTGTCTGCGGCACGTGCGGCATAGCAAAAACCTCGAAGAACAAGACAGTGACGAGGGGAGAAGAAGAAAAGCGTAGAGTGAGAGCGCGCGATCCAAACACGTAACTTCCGATGGATGCTACCGAATCACAAACGGATCTGCATAACCGACCCGGAATCTTCTTCATCGGATCCTCCAACGTCGGCAAACGCACCCTCCTATCCCGTAACCCTCTTTCCCTTATTCAAACCTTCACCATTCACATCGCGTCCACTTACTCTATCTAAGATTTAATTTTTAGGTTTCCATTATTGTTATAACTCTTTTAGAATCACGAATTCGCGCTTTATTTTAATCTTATGTTTTCTTTTTAGATTTTATTTGATGATGCTAATTTTAATTCTTTGCTATGTAACCTATGTTGTTATTCAGAATTGGTGGAATTGAATTTTGATTTGACATGCTTTGGTCATATTGAGTGTAGGATTGACCTCTGTTGATGTTGAAGATGCTTTTGATTCGGCTTCTGAAGTGAATGTGCAAGGGTATGTTCATTCTGAATCATTTTATCCATTTGTTTCATGCTTGCTTATGAATCTTTTTTGATTTCTCGCTGTGTATTTTAATGTGGAATGAACAGGTGGACCATCAATAATAAGTACTATACTGCTGATGTTTCCATATGGATGGCTCATCTTAAAGATGATTTTTCTGCCGGAAACATGCCTGTGTTACAACAAATGACCGCGTTGGTGATGGTTTTTGACATGAATGAAGTTAGTTTCTTTACTTGACTCCCTTTTCATTTGCTCTGTTTATGTTGTTAATTATTTATGATTTGTTTAGATTAACTTCTCCAGAAACACTTCTTGGAGAAAAAAATAAGAAGGAAAATCGAAATAAACTTCTTCATGAGCTAAAACTAGTTTATACTTAAGTTAAAAATAAGTTTGTGAAGAAGCTAATAGCAGAAAATTTTTACAAATTAGCTTATGGAAAAAAAATTCATTAATATTTTTTTTCACTTCTATAAATGCTTATGGAGAAGTTTACTCAAACAAACTCTTAATCCTTGACAAAGGTTTTGTATTCACTGCTTATTCTTTTGATTTTCATGTGGGGAAAAAATATTCTTTAATTACTTTCTTGTTTTCTATGTACCCAGTATGCAATAGCAGTGACAAATGCATGAGATGTATTTTTAACTTTTGACTTTTTGTGCAGCCATCTTCCCTGGCTGCACTTAGGGAATGGGTATCTCACACTGATATTCAGAACTTTGAGATATTGCTGTGTATTGGAAACAAAGTGGACCTGGTTCCTGGTCATCCAGCTCATGCTGAATACAGAAGACGGTTGCTGAAACTCGAAGACTCTGCTTCAGATCGTTATTCGGAAGAGTATGGAATATCTGAATCAGAGGGAACTAGCTTATTGGGGGATGAAGAACCATCGTGGGACATCAGAAGGTCCTGTTTGGAATGGTGCACTGATCACAATATTGAGTTCATCGAGGCATGTGCTTCCAATGCTGATTTTGACAGATGTAAAACTTCACTTCCCATTGTAATGAGCTGGTCAATAACATGTTGCACATAACTCTGATTTTTGCTTTGACTAATTCTCAATTTTAGATGTAGATGAGTTATAATTATAATACATTATTAATGAGAGAGGGAGCTGAGTTAGATAACATCGAGTTATTTGAAAGATGATTTATCATTGATAATTGTAAACACACATTCAAGTTCAAACTTTTTCTGCTCACCAAAAAATTTATGGATGAATGAACATTGGAAAATTATTTCCAGAGCATATGATCTCCACACAATTATTTTGCAGGCTTGTCCATTGATGGTGATTTACAGGGAGTTGAACGTCTATATGGTGCACTTTCAGCTCATATGTGGCCTGGAATGGTATTGAAATCAGGCGATAGGATAAATCAACCATCATTTCCTGAGAAAGAAGGTATTTTCTTTCTTGTTTTCTCTTTGGAGCATGCTTCTTGTGGCTTTTGTCAATGTAGAATACCTGCAAACACTAATTTTGGTTTATCCTTTTTCCCTCGTCAGAGTTATCTTCAGAGGAATCCGATTATGAACCAGAGTATGAAGTTTTATCAGCTGGCTCAGCTGATCTCTGGGATGAAAATGAACAAGGATGGGTTTCTGCTCCTTCCTTTGATGAAGGGGGTTCGACTTCTCAAAACAATCCCAGTGCAGATGGTCAACATGAGGATGGAATTAAAACTGATAAAGAATCTCAGCCCATAACCTCAAGCAATGCAATCAAGGATGAAAGTGGCCAGAATGTGGTGCACAATATCATGGATTCTGAAGGAGATGAGAAGGCAGACAATGGTAAATGTCTTGACTTAGAGGATTTGGAACAGTTGATGTCTGAGATTGGGAATATGCGTGCAGGCTTAAGATTGATGCCTGATTTTCAAAGAAGGGAAATGGCTGCAAAGCTAGCTATGAAAATGGCTTCTATGTTTGGAGGAGAGAGTGATGAAGAGGAAATTTAGATGATGATGGATGCTAGCTCAATGATTCAATTATGTAGGTGTAAGGAATGTCATTTCAGCACACTTTTGTACGAGCCATCACATGGAACGAGATGAGCAACCTCAGTTTGCACAAGGATCAGGGGTTCCTTCATGCTCCCGCACTCTGCTACTCTTGCTCACTGCTGAATGCTGATCATGATTTAAGACCAGTTACTCCTGTGTTAGTCATACACTGTTTAATAGTCTATATTTTAAGGAGCAGGACATTTTGTTTAAATTTTCGAGGTAATTAGGGTGGTGGTTGTGGTAGTGACGTGGTTACTTGCTGCAATTTGTTAATGGGAAAATTGACTGAAAAACACAATTAGCGTTTTAACTAGATGGCCAAAATGACAAATGGTCTACCTCGTTGATTATTTTCTTCAGGAATATGGATAGATAAGTTGGCTTATGTGTCATTGTTTACAACTCTCTTATAGAATAAAGAGATCCAAGTAGATTTTGACTGTGAATTCTATTCGTGTTTAGATATTTACTAAACCAGTTACTGTATGGAAGTAGAAGGAAAGTTACAGTCACGGTTTACGAAGTTATCTGTCTTAACCATAGCTTTGCTTGATGTGAAGTGGTATCAGAGTTTTTCTTTCTCTCTATTTTTTTTTTCTACGACGTTGCATCAAAATTGCAAACATGGATTCAATCTTTCCCTCTCAGCACACACATTCTAAGACAATTCTATAATTGTGTGATGAGAACATGTTATACCATGTATCATTACACGGTTCCGAAAGCTCATTTGGTCTACGGTGAGAAACGGAGATGGGTCAAAGATCAACCACCGGGACAGGTCTTTACCTTCTTCTACACCAAATTTGCAGCGGTATATTAGAAAAAGAGCAAAGATAATATGAAAAACTTTCTCTAGTTTCATTCATAAAGGAGGAATAGTACTATCCTCAATATATACACACGAGGAGACAATTAACCTAACAGAATGTGTTATATATTGACCAATGAAAATAAAACAACGATAGAAAATAAAGAAAAAAGAATAATAAAAAAAAGGAATCTTCAAGATTGCAAAAGATTACTACGCACAGGATTGTAAAAGATTGTTACGTACCCTCTATGATGTCCTCCTTTTTCTCTAATATGCCCCTGCAAGCTGTGGAGTAGATGTTAAGAATTCCCGGCTTGGAAACAAGGGAACAAAATTGACGAGGACCCAAAGTTTTGGTGTATTCTTCTAGTTGACAGGAGGAAGGAATGGGGAGTAACCTTAGTAGCTCATGTTGTGTCTTTTCTCTTACAATGTGACAATTCAATTTGATATGTCTTGTTCGCTCATGGAAAACAGGGTTTGCAGCAATGTGTAATGCAGATTGGTTGTTACAGTATAGGAGAGTTGGAGCCTTAAAAGGAATTTGTAGATCTTGTAAAAGAAAGGTTAGCCACTGAATCTTACAAGTAACAGATGCCATTGTCCTGTACTCAGCTTCACAAGAGCTTCTTGATACTGTGTTTTGTTTCTTGGACTTCCAAGATATGAGAGAAGAGCCAAGATACACACTATATCATGTGATTGATCTTCTAGTCTCTGAACATGAAGCTCAATCACTGTCACTGTATGCCTTTAATTGAAGAGAAGAATATGAAGGAAAAAACAGTCCAAGACTAGGAGCATTCTTGACATAATGAAGAATTCTCAAGGCTGCATCATAGTGAGCAATAGATGGTTTAGAGAGAAATTGTGCTAAATGGTGGACAGAGAACGTGATATCTGGTCTTGTGTTTGTTAGACACATAAGTCGTCCAAGGAGACGTCTATAAGCAAGAATATCAGAGAAAGGTTCCCCTATAGTAAATGAAACTCTCTTTACATTATCAATAGGAGTAGGTGCTAGTTTGCATCCTAGAAGTCCAGCTTCAGCTAGCAATTCTAATGCATATTTCCTTTGATTCATCAATATTCCTTACTTGGTTCTTGCTATCTCAAAACCAAGAAAAAAATTTCAATTCTCCCAAATCTTTTATACGAAAAGAATTATCAAGAACCTATTTAATAACTGAAATTTCTTGATCATCATTCTCAACTAAAATGATGTCATCCACATACACTAAGAGTGTTGTGAAAGAATTATGAGAAGATTTGATAAATAACGAATAGTCATGAGCAGATTGAACAAATCTAGCAGCAAGTAAGAATGATGATAATTTAGAAAACCACTCCCTACTTGCCTGCTTAAGGCCATACAATGTTTTGTTAAGTTTACAGACTTGTCTTGGCAAAACAGAAGCTAGTCCAGGGGGAGCTATCATATAGACTTCTTCCTTCAACTCTCCATGCAAAAAAGCATTATTAATGTCTAGTTGTTGAAGTTTCCAGTTAAGCACAGACATAAGAGACAAGATCAATCTTACTGTTGTTATTTTTGCAACAGTAGAAAAAGTATCCAAATAGTCAATACCCTCAATTTGAGTATACCCTTTTGCCACCAAATGAGCTTTATGCCTTTCAATGGATCCATTTGCCTTGTATTTGATCTTGAATACCCATTTGCAACCAATAAGGATTTTTCATTGTGGTAAATTTGTGACAGTCCATGTCTGATTTGCATTGAGAGACAATAGTTTGGCTTGAATAGCATTCTTCCAACAGTCATGTATAACGACTTCATTATAATCCCTCGGCTCAACATGAGAAGACAAAGACATGATATAAGATGTGTAAGTGGGTGAAAGACATTTATAGGATAAAACAGAAGAAATTGGATAAAAATTTTGTGAAGATGAAATAGTGCTAACATTACAATAATAGTCTCTTAGATACCTAGGTGGTCTTCTCATTCTAATATTAGTCTGGGGGTTATTTGTGATTGGTATGGCAATATTAGCAGGGTTATCGTCATTGGATGAAACAGTCACGGGTGTGTTTGGATGTAAAAATATTAGTCCCATCATCAGTGGGATGATGATGAGTACAAGTGATTGGTTCAAGGTCAAAAATTGAAGAATGACTATGTTCTTGGAGAATGCTGTTAACTTGATCATTTTTCGTTTTCAAATCAAAATAAGGAAACACGAGTTCATGAAATATTACATTTCTTTATACAATCAATTCTCTATTTTGGACATTTAATAAAACAAATCCCTTAGTCCCCGTCTTTAAACCAAGAAAAACCCACGTGCATGCTCTTGGATCAAATTTTGTTCTATGAACAGGAGAGCTACTTGCAAAACACAATGAACCAAAAACTTTTAACTGAGAAAAATCGGGTTCAATTTTGTAAAGCATTTAATGTGGGGAAGAATTCTTTAAAATTGGAGTCGGTAACATGTTGATGATGTGGGCAGCATGGATAACAACATATGATCAGTATATTTTTGGCAAATTAGATTGAAGCATCAGAGCTCTGGCTACATTCAATAAATGACCATGTTTCCTTTCCACAATGCCATTCTGTTCAGGGGTATAAGCACAAGAAGTGTGATGAATTATTCCTTTAGAAGCATAAAAATCATTCATACAAAACTCAGTTCCATTATCACTTCTTATGACTTTTATAACTGAATCAAATTGTGTTTTAATCAATGAAACAAAATTTTGAAGAATTTTTGATGTTTCAGATTTTAGCTTTAAAGGAAAGATCCAAGTATATCGTGAATGGTCATCAACAATGGTCAAGAAGTACTTGTGTCCATGAACAAATGGAATGGAGTAAGGTCCCCATAAATCAACATGAATAAGATCAAAACATTTATTTGAAACAGAACTGCTAACAGGGAAAGAAAGTTTTCTTTGTTTAGCCAAATGGAAAATGTCACAAACATAAGATTTTTCATGGTTCACATGAGGAAACTTTCCCTTTATCACATCAAGACATTTATTTGAAACATGTCCAAGATGAAAATGCCAAATAGTGGAACCATTAATAGAAGCCAAGTTAACAACAGTGGTTGTATGGGATGGATTTTGAGTATATGGTAACAATTGATGAGAAGGGACCCTGAGTATGTAAAGGCTATCAAGAATGTTAGTTATACCAGTCGTCTTCAAGATAATCTTGTCCTAGATTTGAAAATGAGTAGAATCAAATGTGAGAATAAAAGAAAGGTTAGTAGTTAATTTTCCGATAGATAGCAAATTAAAACTAAAACTAGGAATGTATAAGACATTATGAAGAACATGATCTAAGGTCAAAAACACACTACCAAAATAATTAGCAACAACCTTGTTTCCATTTGGTAATGTGACATGAATGGGTTTAATTTTATGATAAGAGATAAAATGAGACAAACACTAACAAATGTGGTCAGTAGCACCACTATCCAAAACCCAAGAACTAAAAGAAGAAGAGGTATTACCAATTTTTCCGGAATGATTAGAAGGTCCGGTGTGGCTGAGACTTGGTTTGACACATAACTGTTGTTAGAAATTTGTGACTATTGCAAGAGTGCTATTAAGCCTTGATATTGTTCCTCAGTGAAACCAAATTGCTGATGTCCCAAATGTTCCTTCAACAATCTAGATTCCTTTCGATCTGCATTATCATTGTGGACTAAAGCATTCACATACACCTGACTCTTATTTTGATTCTGTTTTGTAAATTCTAAGTGAGGTGGAAATCCGTGTTTCTTGTAGCATGTATCCACTATATGTCCTGATATTCCACAATGACAACAAATTTTGCTGCTATTACCCTTACCACTATTTGCTCTGCCTCCTTTACCAGCAACAACCATCACCTTAGATTGCTCAACTGTGTCAGCAAACATTTGCCTCTCTTGTTGAACCGCCAAAGAAAAAACACGGTTGAGAGGTGGCAATGGATCCAAGAGCATGATTTGGGATTTTACAGTAGAGTAGCTTTCATTCAGCTCTCTAAGGAATTTGATCACCTGATCCTGAACCTTATACTTGTTAATATTGACAGTGTCGTATCACGACTAATGGTTTAGACTACCTTTTTGAAAAATTGCATTAATTAAGGAATGTTTAGAGACCAGACTAATCCTTAATTAATGGTTTTAAAAATGAGTTCATGGAGTCGCCACCAATGTTTTACTCAAAACATTGGAAAAAGAAAAGGTTTTCAAAAGAAAATCCAATAATGACCTTAACAACCAAAATTAGGTTCGGGGTCATTTATGTGTAGATAAGGTATTAGTACCCCTACAACGCCCTAAATTGATACTGTTATGATGAAATTAACATAATAATAAATAACATTGTAAATATTTTATCCCTTTTTATTATCTAATATTATTTACATGACAAAAATATACTCATTATCTACATGATTATTTATTGTATAAAAGAATTATAAATAAAATAAAAAAAAGAAATAAAATAATAAATAATAAATAAAATAAAAATAATAAATAGAATAAATAAAAGAGAAGAATTTAGAACCTGTGAAGCAAGCTTTTTATAAAGGAATCTTTCCAAATGCGTGTGGAGTGTGTTTTGACAGTCCTTTCGCTCTACCAAAACCTTACTATCACTCAAAGGTTTACATAGAAAGGGGGTAAGCTATGCAACTCTTTTTTTTTATCCCTTGGCCAGAGGGTTTCTTATATAGCCAACTAAGAGACAAAAGCATAAGAGAGCTATCCAATGTGAGACTAAATTTCATAAAAATACCCTCTTTTCCTAGGCACCATGCAGGACCTCTAGAGAACTCGTTAACCTTCGGATCCTACTGGTTTTTTATGGTATCCTCACAATATATTGATCTTCAATTTCAAAGGTTGGATCGTTGAAATTAGGTTTATAGTGAGAGATATTATCATAACAAAAATGTTGTCTAGTATAGAATTCGTATTTTCCAGCTGCAATGCGAGGCCTCTAGAGAAATAATTAATCGTTGGATCAAGCTAGAAAGTTGATGATATCATCTTACGACATTGATCTTTAACTTAAACGGTTGGATCATGATAATTAGGTCTTTAGAAGGATATATTATCAAAACAAAAACACTACCAAATGCAAATTTTTTTGGAAAGCAGAACGGGTCGTTCCAGTTTCGGAACGGGCTGTTCTAACAATGCGAACGACCCGTTCCAATTTGGAAACATCCATTCCACACCCCAAATCAGTTTTATTGAGTTTTTAGGACCTTTCGGAGTCATCTTCGCCCATTTAGGTGCTCTATTGGGTCCTTAGGGGCCATACGTACTATTTTTTTAGCTGCAGTGCGAGGCTTCTAGAGAACTCGTTAACCGTTAGATTATGCTGGAATTTTGATAATATCTTCTCAATACGTTGATCTTTCATCTCAACGGTTGGATTGTCAAAATTAGTTCTGTAATGAGAGATGATATCATAACAAAACTGCTACCCAACACGCTAGTCCCCTCGAGGGTTGTTTGTCTCGCTCTAGTAGACCTTTATCCTTGGTTTGGGTATCCCAAACAAAATTGGGTGTCTACAGACAATGCAAGAACATTTGACAACACAAGAACAAATAGGTAATGGTCGAAAAATTTCTAGCTCATCCCAAAGGATTTTCAACTATGTGAAATAATCAGTAACACTTAACTCTCCTTGTTTGAGGGATGAGATAGTGTCTTATAGGTTAGCAATCCGGAACATATCACCATGAGAGAATCTCTCTTGCAGGTCTAAACAAATGCTGAAGGTAGTGTCTCTCTAAATAACACTTTGTGTAATGGATGATGAGAGTGACCAAATGATCCGAGATACAAAGCTGGAAAAAGAATATTGGAACGAGCAGGAGCAACAATGGTTCCATCAATGAAACCAAGATTGTTCTTGGAAACAAGACTCATACGAAAGGAACGTGACCATTGGTGATAATTTGGTCCATCAAGGATAAAAGAAACAAGAACTAATGAAGGGTTTTTTGATGGATGAAGATAGTATGGTGAGGTGGGAGTTTGAGAAAGGTCAATATTCATTGATGAATGTAGCAAACAGAGCTTTGAATTTCATAGTTCTGAT